AACTTTGTTAGATTTCAACAAAAATTGAATATATGGGATGTACATGATGTAGTACAGAACTTAACTTTTGACTACATGTATTTGCCTATTTTAAATCTTTTTCCTTATTTTTAACATTTTTGTGTTTAATTTTTAAGGTTTTATTCACGGTATGTATAGTGTCCAGCTAGGATTGTGGTTTTTTGAGTGATTTGATCGGGTTTTTTCAAGTCTGACCACTTTTTTTCGAGTGAATATGATCAAAAATGTAAACAAACAGACTTACTTTCTGAAAAGACGTGATATAGAAGCTTGAGTTTAATATACAAGTATATACAAGGTGTGTTAGTATTTGAGAATCAATCCGACATTATTTTTCGTTCAAAAAGTTGAATTTTGCCTTACAATGCTTTTATTCCAAAAAACAGAATAAAGCCATTTTTATACACATACCAATGCAAACGTCTATGGAAATGCATACATGGAATCCATAATATCCTTAGATATACAGACACTTTACAAAAATTCTTGTTTTTGCATTGAAAAACGATATTTTGAGACTAAGTTCATTGCTGTGTGTTCTGGGTTTTTTCGAGAGCAGGCAGGGCTTTTTCGAGTGCATCCATGTTTTATCAAGTGATTATACAAATTTCCTATAGCTTAGAATGTTGTGTGTCAGTGTATTTGCATTTAAAAACAAAAAAAAAGGGTTCAAATTATGTACTTTTTAAGGCACAAAACCAATGCATTCATCAGTTTAATAAAGGTGTACTAACACTTAGACTTTATAAACAAGTATCAGCCATCTGTATATATTGGTTTGTCACATCTAATAAATTACATGTACAGTATATATTCATGATCTCAAAAATCTAATGTAAACATAGACAATTTGGATTGAGACGTACATACAAAGAGTGAATTAAGCTGATGAATTATTCATTTCATTGTTAACTATATATGAAATTTAATTCAGATGTTTATATAATTGTCAATGGGAATAAAAACTGGTCATATAAAGTGTCTTTTAGTAGAATATTTTGTTCTTTGATATGCTGAATCTAACCATGTATTTAGATTTTTGATTTTTGGGCCCCGTTATCAACGTTGTCCACTGTTTTGATTTCAATTTATTATGTCTAATTACATTTAGAATATAGCAAAGTACTCTCGCCCATTGAAATTGTAGGATTGGATGCCTCTTAATTGTGAAGAATGAATGTAAATCATGTTCTTAATAAGGGATTATCCGATTATTTGGGTCTATTTACAGTTCAAAACAAAGAGTCTATAAATGAGTTACAACTGCCCCGAAGCACATTTATCAGATTGAAAGGATTTATCACACAGTGATTAAAACTGACTAAAAGTTGAATTGTGAAACAAACAAAAATCTCAAAAATATGTTGAAGTTTACTGGTGCAGTAAAATTGGTACCGTGAATGTTATTATGAAAATATTAATAACTTCAAATTACTATAAAATTAAACAATACCAAAGCAATGCAAAAAAAAAGAAAAACAATCTTTCAGATAAAAAATAACCTAAATCTTTAGCTTTCCAAAACTTTGATTACTTGATCAGCGGTTGGGGAAAATAGTTATTTCCAATACATTGTATATTGTACTCCGATAAGAAAAACAGGAATTTAACTTTGAACATATTGAAAACTTATAAGGGCACTATTTTTGAACATTTCCCTGACATAATGAAACAGTATTTGATGTAAAAAGCTTGACCAAAATATTGGCTGTGAAATAAAATTTAGTTGTAACTCAAATGTATTAATTGGTTTAAACTGTAAATAAAAAAAGGATAATTCCTCACTAAAATATAACAAGATTTACATTCATACTCACAATCAGGATACATACAATTCCTACCTTTTCTTTCTACTGTTGTGTCACCTAATATCTATAACGCATTTTTTTTAAAAAATATTTCCCAAATGATAAGAAAGTCCTCACTTCACTAAAACTAATCTATAAATGACATGCCGAAAAAGGAAGTCATGCATCAATTATAAACATTGCACTGACAATGAAACTAATTCTTGAATAGATCATTTGAGCCTTGAGCACTTTACAATATTTTAAGTTTGTAAGAGAATGATAATCCCTTACTTCATGATAAGTACTGGCTAACGCTCGTACTTAAGCATGAAGAAAGGGATTATCATTCTCTTACATATACGAGAGATTTTATACATTATATTGCCCAAGGTAATGAATTGTTCTCAGTTGGCAGTTTTATAACCTGTAATTAGCATGATTAGGGGGATTATCTCAACAAAAGGATAAATTAATTTACCGGTATGTAATTATAACTTATAAACTTCCACCTTTTGAAATTAGCTGAACTATTCTTCATTTCATATAATTTTTTCAGAGGAAACCTCGATCTCATCACTTGGCGTCCTTTGTCCGTCTGTGTCGTCGTTAACTATGCAAACATTTTCTCCTCTGACATTGTAATTAAAGATTATCATTGGTCATCTCAATGAGATGATTTTCTCGGTTGAGCTGGTACGTCAAAAGTGAGAAATGAAAGCTAGCGAGTTGAGATGACCAATGATAATCTGTTTATCGCTAGTTTACCTTTGACAACATTGTTAATTTCATTGACAACGGCACATGCGCCCTTAGTTTCTTCTGTTTTAAGCGATAATTTTCATATCAATCTATTGTGCTGAGAAAGAAAATTATCAGTCATAATTAAGATCAAAGGAAAATTTTGTAAAATAGCGATAATGAAATATATTCAAATAAAGCTGTTAATAAAAAGTAAATATCAATATTAAGTCGGTATGACAGCAAAAATTGCAAACTATGGAGAAAATGACCTACAATATAAAGAAGCGATTGATTCAATGGTCGATGTCATTTCAAGAATGTTCTCATGTTTATCATCACTCACTCAAGAATTTTTAAATAGTTTAGATCCTCTGTAAGAGCTTTCATCTAGAAAACAACTGTAAACATAACATTTGGAAACAATGCTTTAAAAGCTGTTTTTATAAAGTTCAAAATTTCCTCTCTAAATAAGTTGAACAACATAATTGTTGGTAAACTTTCTTCATTATTTTATAGCATGTAATCGACAGTAATCAAAAAGTAATGTAATTATTTTTGATAAAGTAATCGATCGCAATTCAATAGCAATCGATTACATTCAAAAATCAGAGTAATCGATCATTAATCGAATACATTTGTCAGTAATCGTGCCCATCCCTGAAACCAATATTTGGAGTAATACTAGTAAAAAAGACTATGAATTTATCATATATGAAGCTCCAAAAAAAGGGGGGTTGGTCTTGTCAACCCTCGCATAATCTTCCTCTGCAAATTATTTTTAAATCTATTGCTGTACAATGGAGCCTATGGGAATACAATCCTAGTTTACATCTCAATAACCGAAAATCAACTTATATTTTCCAGTATAATATATAGACATGATAGATATATATCATGTAAATAAATATAATGCTTAACGTGTTTATATATATTTTTTTATAACTTAATTTGTTTGTTTGATTGTTCTGGGAGAAAATTTTTGTTCATTTAAAAATATAGGACAACAGAGTTGGTGTATGTGGGTTCGATTCCCACCCTAGGCATTCATTTATATTGGCTGGTGCAAAGTGGGCAGTTAAGCTTAGTGGCTCCGCACTGACTCTGTTGTTCCTATGTCAAATATTTCAGGCAGCCGCGGACAGGTTTTGCGCTCTTTCTATTTCTTGAAGAAGTCCAGATACAACAAAACCATGGTATGATTCTTAAAATTATATTATAGATAGCTATGTTATAAATTTTGGTTATTGAGATTTATACTGGAGTTGCATTACCGTAGGGTCTATTGTACAGCTATATAGGTTAATTAAATTAAAGACATTTCATCTCTGTTTTTAGACCACAATTTTTGTCCCGCCTGCCTTGAAAGTAAGCGAGACTTAGGACACTAAGGTATAACTATCCAGCGGTGGCATGAACTATTTGTATACAGCTTTTATATTTCAGAAGGTAGAAGACCTGTATGCTTCATATCTTGTATGCAGATACCTTATGTTAGGAAGTTTTCTTCTGCCATATGTCCATTGTCCTTTACTTCATTTTCATGGTTCAGCGACTGCTTGAAAAAAAGTACAGTTTTCTCACTTATTACATTGTATTATGAGTTATAGGTCCTAGGACAACTGTATTTGGTTTATTGGTTCCTTGCAAGATCTGCATGACAGCCAGACAGAGTTCACCTGACATTGACCTAATTTCATGGATCAGTGATCAAGGTTAAAAGTTATGTTAATAGGTCTGTATCTCAAATACTATAGGCATATAATGATTGTTATTGGTACATGTCAGTCTGACAGGTTTCATCTGACCTTGACCTCATTTTCATGGTTCATTGTCAATGTTAAGTTTAGTGTTTTGGTCTGGTTTTCAAGTATTATAAGCAATAGGTCAACTATGTTTGGTGTATGGAATTATCTGTTTACAGTAGACTCCAGCAAATATTAGTAATATGGCAACTATTTTTATACGACCGCAAAAATTAAAATTTTTTTGGTCGTATATTGGTTTGACTTTGGCGTTGGCGTTGGCGTCGTCGTCGTCGTCGTCGTCGTCGTCGTCCGAAGACACATTTGTTTTCGCACTCTAATTTTAGTTTAAGTGAATGGATCTCCATGAAGTTTTACCATAAGGTTCAATACCACAGAAGGAAGGTTGGGATTGATTTTGGGGGTTATGGTACCAACAGTTAAGGAATAAGGGGCCAAAAAGGGGCCAAAAATAAGCATTTTTATAACTTTCAGACATAACTTGTGTGTTAGTGTATGGATCTCTCTGACATTGTACCACAAGGTTCCATATCACAAAGGGAATGCTGGGATTGATTTTGGGGGTAATTGCCGCAAATTTTAGGAATTAGGGGCCAAAAAAAGGGGCAAAAAACAAGCATTTTTCTAGTTTCATGATAATAACTTGTGTGTAAGTATATGGATTTTTCTGAAATTGAACTAAAAGGTTCCATATCACAAAGGGAAAGCTGGAATTGAGTTTGGGGGTAATTGCTCAAAACGTTTAGGAATAAGGGGCCAAAAAGGGGCCAAAAAAAGCATTTTTCTAGTTTCATGACAATAACTTGTGTTCAAGTGTATGGATCTCTCTGAAATTGTACTGCAAGGTACCATACCTCAAAGGGAAGGCTAGGATTGATTTTGGGGGAAATTGCCTCAAAATTTTAGGAATTAGGGGCCAAAAAGGGGCAAAAAACAAGCATTTTTCTAGTTTCAGGACAATAACTTGTGTGTAAGTGTATGGATCTTTATGAAATTGTACTACAAGGTTCCATATCACAAAAGGAAAGGTGGGTTTGAGTTTTGGGGTAATTGCCCTAACTGTTTAGGAATTTCGGGCCAAAAAGGGGCCTTAAAACAAGCATTTTTCTAGTTTCCAGACAATAACTTGTGTTCAAGTGTATGGATCTCTCTGAAATTGCACTGCAAGGTACCATACCACAAAGGGAAGGCTGGGATTGAGTTTGGAGGTAATTGCCTCAAAATGTTAGGAATTAGGGGCAAAAAACAAGCATTTTTCTAGTTTCAGGACAATAACTTGTGTGTAAGTGTATGGATCTTTATGAAATTGTACTACAAGATTCCATATCACAGAGGGAGAGCTGGAATTGAGTTTGGGGGTAATTGCCTAAAAATTTAGGAATAAGGGGCCAAAAAGGGGCCAAAAATAGCATTTTTCTAGTTTCCAGACAATAACTTGTGTTCAAGTGTATGGATCTCTCTGAAATTGTACTGCAAGGTACCATACCACAAAGGGAAGGCTGGGATTGATTTTGGGGGTAATTGCCTCAAAATTTTGGAATTAGGGGCCAAAAAGGGGCAAAAAACAAGCATTTTTCTAGTTTCAGGACAATAACTTGTGTGTAAGTGTATGGATCTTTATGAAATTGTACTACAAGGTTCCATATCACAAAAGGGAAGCTGGGTTTGAGTTTGGGGGTAATTGCCCTAAACGTTTAGGAATTTGGGGCCAAAAAAGGGCCTAAAAACAAGCATTTTTCTAGTTTCCGGACAATTACTTGTGTTCAAGTGTATGGATCTCTCTGAAATTGTACTGCAAGGTACCATACCACAAAGGGAGAGCTGGAATTGAGTTTGGGGGTAATTGCCTAAAAATTTAGGAATAAGGGGCCAAAAAGGGGCCAAAAATAGTATTTTTCTAGTTTCCAGACAATAACTTGTGTTCAAGTGTATGGATCTTTATGAAATTGTACTACAAGGTTCCATATCACAAAAGGAAAGGTGGGTTTGAGTTTTGGGGTAATTGCCCTAACTGTTTAGGAATTTCGGGCCAAAAAGGGGCCTTAAAACAAGCATTTTTCTAGTTTCCAGACAATAACTTGTGTTCAAGTGTATGGATCTCTCTGAAATTGCACTGCAAGGTACCATACCACAAAGGGAAGGCTGGGATTGAGTTTGGGGGTAATTGCCTCAAAATGTTAGGAATTAGGGGCAAAAAACAAGCATTTTTCTAGTTTCAGGACAATAACTTGTGTGTAAGTGTATGGATCTTTATGAAATTGTACTACAAGGTTCCATATCACAAAGGGAGAGCTGGAATTGAGTTTGGGGGTAATTGCCTAAAAATTTAGGAATAAGGGGCCAAAAAGGGGCCAAAAATAGCATTTTTCTAGTTTCCAGATAATAACTTGTGTTCAAGTGTATGGATCTCTCTGAAATTGTACTGCAAGGTACCATACCACAAAGGGAAGGCTGGGATTGATTTTGGGGGTAATTGCCTCAAAATTTTTGGAATTAGGGGCCAAAAAGGGGCAAAAAACAAGCATTTTTCTAGTTTCAGGACAATAACTTGTGTGTTAGTGTATGGATCTTTATGAAATTGTACTACAAGGTTCCATATCACAAAAGGGAAGCTGGGTTTGAGTTTGGGGGTAATTGCCCTAAACGTTTAGGAATTTGGGGCCAAAAAAGGGCCTAAAAACAAGCATTTTTCTAGTTTCCGGACAATAACTTGTGTTCAAGTGTATGGATCTCTCTGAAATTGTACTGCAAGGTACCATACCACAAAAGGAAGGCTGGGATTGAGTTTGGGGGTAATTGCCTCAAAGTTTTAGGAATTAGGGGCCAAAAAGGGGCAAAAAACAAGCATTTTTCTTGTTTCAGAACAATAACTTGTGTGTAAGTGTATGGATCTTTATGAAATTGTACTACAAGGTTCCATATCACAAAAGGAAAGGTGGGTTTGAGTTTTGGGGTAATTGCCCTAACTGTTTAGGAATTTGGGGCCAAAAAGGGGCATTAAAACAAGCATTTTTCTAGTTTCCAGACAATAACTTGTGTTCAAGTGTATGGATCTCTCTGAAATTGCACTGCAAGGTACCATACCACAAAGGGAAGGCTGGGATTGAGTTTGGGGGTAATTGCCTCAAAATGTTAGGAATTAGGGGCAAAAAACAAGCATTTTTCTAGTTTCAGGACAATAACTTGTGTGTAAGTGTATGGATCTTTATGAAATTGTACTACAAGGTTCCATATCACAAAGGGAGAGCTGGAATTGAGTTTGGGGGTAATTGCCTAAAAATTTAGGAATAAGGGGCCAAAAAGGGGCCAAAAATAGCATTTTTCTAGTTTCCAGACAATAACTTGTGTTCAAGTGTATGGATCTCTCTGAAATTGTACTGCAAGGTACCATACCACAAAGGGAAGGCTGGGATTGATTATGGGGGTAATTGCCTCAAAATTTTTGGAATTAGGGGCCAAAAAGGGGCAAAAAACAAGCATTTTTCTAGTTTCAGGACAATAACTTGTGTGTTAGTGTATGGATCTTTATGAAATTGTACTACAAGGTTCCATATCACAAAAGGGAAGCTGGGTTTGAGTTTGGGGGTAATTGCCCTAAACGTTTAGGAATTTGGGGCCAAAAAAGGGCCTAAAAACAAGCATTTTTCTAGTTTCCGGACAATAACTTGTGTTCAAGTGTATGGATCTCTCTGAAATTGTACTGCAAGGTACCATACCACAAAGGGAAGGCTGGGATTGAGTTTGGGGGTAATTGCCTCAAAATTTTAGGAATTAGGGGCCAAAAAGTGGCAAAAAACAAGCATTTTTCTAGTTTCAGAACAATAACTTGTGTGTAAGTGTATGGATCTTTATGAAATTGTACTACAAGGTTCCATATCACAAAAGGAAAGGTGGGTTTGAGTTTTGGGGTAATTGCCCTAACTGTTTAGGAATTTGGGGCCAAAAAGGGGCATTAAAACAAGCATTTTTCTAGTTTCCAGACAATAACTTGTGTTCAAGTGTATGGATCTCTCTGAAATTGCACTGCAAGGTACCTTACCACAAAGGGAAGGCTGGGATTGAGTTTGGGGGTAATTGCCTCAAAATGTTAGGAATTAGGGGCAAAAAAACAAGCATTTTTCTAGTTTCAGGACAATAACTTGTGTGTAAGTGTATGGATCTTTATGAAATTGTACTACAAGGTTCCATATCACAAAGGGAGAGCTGGAATTGAGTTTGGGGGTAATTGCCTAAAAATTTAGGAATAAGGGGCCAAAAAGGGGCCAAAAATAGCATTTTTCTAGTTTCCAGACAATAACTTGTGTTCAAGTGTATGGATCTCTCTGAAATTGTACTGCAAGGTACCATACCACAAAGGGAAGGCTGGGATTGATTATGGGGGTAATTGCCTCAAAATTTTTGGAATTAGGGGCCAAAAAGGGGCAAAAAACAAGCATTTTTCTAGTTTCAGGACAATAACTTGTGTGTTAGTGTATGGATCTTTATGAAATTGTACTACAAGGTTCCATATCACAAAAGGGAAGCTGGGTTTGAGTTTGGGGGTAATTGCCCTAAACGTTTAGGAATTTGGGGCCAAAAAAGGGCCTAAAAACAAGCATTTTTCTAGTTTCCGGACAATAACTTGTGTTCAAGTGTATGGATCTCTCTGAAATTGTACTGCAAGGTACCATACCACAAAGGGAAGGCTGGGATTGAGTTTGGGGGTAATTGCCTCAAAATTTTAGGAATTAGGGGCCAAAAAGTGGCAAAAAACAAGCATTTTTCTAGTTTCAGAACAATAACTTGTGTGTAAGTGTATGGATCTTTATGAAATTGTACTACAAGGTTCCATATCACAAAAGGAAAGGTGGGTTTGAGTTTTGGGGTAATTGCCCTAACTGTTTAGGAATTTGGGGCCAAAAAGGGGCATTAAAACAAGCATTTTTCTAGTTTCCAGACAATAACTTGTGTTCAAGTGTATGGATCTCTCTGAAATTGCACTGCAAGGTACCTTACCACAAAGGGAAGGCTGGGATTGAGTTTGGGGGTAATTGCCTCAAAATGTTAGGAATTAGGGGCAAAAAACAAGCATTTTTCTAGTTTCAGGACAATAACTTGTGTGTAAGTGTATGGATCTTTATGAAATTGTACTACAAGGTTCCATATCACAAAGGGAAAGCTGGAATTGAGTTTGGGGGTAATTGCCTAAAAATTTAGGAATAAGGGGCCAAAAAGGGGCCAAAAATAGCATTTTTCTAGTTTCCAGACAATAACTTGTGTTCAAGTGTATGGATCTCTCTGAAATTGTACTGCAAGGTACCATACCACAAAGGGAAGGCTGGGATTGATTTTGGGGGTAATTGCCTCGAAATTTTGGAATTAGGGGCCAAAAAGGGGCAAAAAACAAGCATTTTTCTAGTTTCAGGACAATAACTTGTGTGTTAGTGTATGGATCTTTATGAAATTGTACTACAAGGTTCCATATCACAAAAGGGAAGCTGGGTTTGAGTTTGGGGGTAATTGCCCTAAACGTTTAGGAATTTGGGGCCAAAAAAGGGCCTAAAAACAAGCATTTTTCTAGTTTCCGGACAATAACTTGTGTTCAAGTGTATGGATCTCTCTGAAATTGTACTGCAAGGTACCATACCACAAAGGGAAGGCTGGGATTGAGTTTGGGGGTAATTGCCTCAAAATTTTAGGAATTAGGGGCAAAAAAGGGGCAAAAAACAAGCATTTTTCTAGTTTCAGGACAATAACTTGTGTGTAAGTGTATGGATCTTTATGAAATTGTACTACAAGGTTCCATATCACAAAAGGAAAGCTGGGTTTGAGTTTGGGGGTAATTGCCCAATACGTTTAGGAATTTGGGGACAAAAAGTGGCCTAAAAACAAGCATTTTTCTAGTTTCCAGACATAATAACTTGTGTTCAAGTGTATGGATCTCTCTGAAATTGTACTGCAAGGTACCATACCACAAAGGGAAGGCTGGGATTGAGTTTGGGGGTAATGAATCATAAGGGGGTTCAAAAAATTTAGTGGAGGGATTTTTTTTTTTTTTAAATTTTCCATTTTAAATTGATTTTTTTCTGATTTATATATAAAAGCAAATAATAATGATATGGTTTGAATAGGTAAATTAAAATTTTTAAGTTCTTAGACCACATTCATTCTGTGTCAGAAACCTATGCTGTGTCAAATATTTAATCACAATCCAAATTCAGTGCTGTGTCAAGCTTGAATGTTGTGTCCATACTTGCCCCAACTGTTCAGGGTTCGACCTCTGCTGTCGTATCAAGCTGCGCCCCAGCGGAGCATTTTATATAATTTGGTGTAATGAATGACTGTTAGGTGTACATGTCTGTCTGGCAGGTGTAATCTGACTTTGTACCCATTTTCATGGTTCATTGGTCAATGTTAAATTTGTGTGTTTGGTCTGTTTGGTCAATTACCATAAGCAAAAGGTCAACTTTATTTGGTGTTTTGTAAGGTGTTTATGTCTGCCTGACAGGATTTATCTGACCTTGACCTCATTTTCATAGATCTTTAAATGTTAATTTCATTGCATACTTTTAGTTAAGTCTTTATTTTTAAGACTTTCTACATAAAATCAATGGTCAGTAAAGCAGGCGAGACATTTCAGCATGTCAACTCTTGTCTTTTTATAACCCTCCTATGCCATTCATTCATATCAAGTTGGTGGAAGTATTTTTGTCTCGCCTGAAAAATATCAGAAAGCGAGACAGGAATTGATTATCCAGCGACGGAGAAGGCTCACTGCTCCAGCTTCATTGTCAAAAATTGTTAAGTTTTCTGATAAAGTTAGTTTGATAGGAAATACTTGTAATAGATTATTGATATTGTGTATGAACTTGCATCTGTTACCAGTACATATCAGTTTGACAACTAATTCAAGGCCCTGCCCCCTAAATCATGGTCTAGTGACTGAATAGTTAGCAATTCTCTATGTAATGTTTTCTGCGTAAGTTACTTTGATAGGAACTACTTGTGATAGATTAATGATATTTTGTATGAAGTTGCATTACTATCAGTTCATATCAGTTTGACGACTATTTTGAGGCCCTGCCCCCTAGGACAGGGTCCAGTACTAATCTAACTAGCAATTTTCAATGTTAAGTTCTATGCTTAAGTTAGTTTGATTGGATCTACTTGTGGTAGATCAATAATATTTCAGTTTGATGACTATTTCGAGGCCCTGCCTCCTATTTCATGGTCCAGTGACTTTGAGTAGATTATCAATTTTCAATGTTAAGTTTTTCTGCTTAAGATATATTTATAGGAACTGCTTACAATAAACAACAATATTTTCTATAATGTTACATTATTGTCTGTACATCTCAGTTTGTCAACCATTTTCAGGCCCTGCTAACTAGATCATGGTCCAGTGACTGAATTTATAAGCAATGTTGCTGTCCATCAGATTTTTCTGAATTTTATGCCTACAGGAGAGACATATCTCTGTGTCAACAGTTTATTAATTTAGTGTTAGGGTAAGACCCCTATATCCTCCAGCTGACTGAGTGAATCCAGATTCCCTCCGACTAGGTCAGGACCCAAAAATAAAAATTGTCACTATTTCGATAATTTATCACTTAGGCTAACCATTCTTAATTTTTATGCCCCCGCCGTAGCAGAGGGGGCATTAAGTTTTACCCTTGTCCGTCTGTACGTCCGCCTGTCCGTCCGTCCTTACGTCCCAAAGTTGGTTTCCATTCTCTAACTTTAGTTTGCCTCAACCAAATGTGTTGAAACTTATACACAATGCTTATTATCACTAAATACAGATCAAGTTTGAATTTTGGTGCCGTCACTTTTACTGAATTATGTCCTTTACAAATGGAAAAATTGTTAAATTTTTCTTTTTTTTTCTTCTAAATATCAAGTCATTTTTATCTTCCTTTGTCCATGATTATAGTTGAATCAACTACAATCAATGCTTTATACAATGCAATGTTTAATTTTGCCTTCCACTGATAAAACACAGATCAAGTTGAATTTGGGTAGTGTCACTTTAACCATTATTGAGTTATGCCCCTTTATAAATCGAAAGATTGCAAAATTTTTAGTTTCCATTTTGTAACTTAAGTTTGCCCCAACCAAACATTATGAAACCTATACACAATATTCATTACCTCAAAACTAAGATAATGCAAATTTTTTTTGTTTCCGTTCTCTAACTTTAGTTTGCCTCAACCAAATGTAAGAAACTTATACACAATGCTTTTTACTACATAATATAGATTAAGTACGAAATTTGATGGCGTCACTTTTACCATTCTTGAGTTATGTCCCTTTATAAACATAAAGGTTGCTGAATTTTTCGTTTCCGTTCTCTAACTTTAGTTTGTCTCAACCAAATGTTATAAAATTTATACACAACCGTTCTTGAGTTATGCGTGTTTACAAATAGAAAAAATTGCTGAATTTTTAGTTTCTGTTCTCTACTTAAGTTAGCCTCAACCAAATGTTATGAGACTTACACACAATGCTTATTACCACAAAACTCAGATCAAGTTCAAATTTGGGTAGCATCACTTTTACCGTTCTTCATTTATGTCCCTTTATAACTATATGATATGCAAGCGGGGGCATCATCTGTGTTTACATGTGGACAAAATCCACATTTATTTTTCTATAAACTCTGAATATGTAGCTTTCAAATGATAGTTCACCGATAACTGTTTATTCTTTGGTTTTTTTTTGGAAAAAAGATAACATTTTATGAATCCAATAAAAAATTAGATTCCTGTTTGCTGCATATACCCCTGGTTCTAAAAAAATTTTTGTTTTTTTTTTACTGTGCCACAAAACTGCAATATTTGTCTTTTTCCCACTAATAACTTTATTTCTTAAAGTTTTTATCCAAGATTATGTATAGTTTGTTAAGAATCACTTTTTTTCACCCTATAGATAAACTCATCATAGATACCAGGATTGAAATTTTGTATTTGTGCCAGACGCGCGTTTCATCTACAAAAGACTCATCAGTGATGCCCGAGGAACATTCAAAACGAAAAGTCCCTAATCAAATGGCAAAATCAAAGCTCAAACACATCAAATGAATGGATAACAGCTGTCATATGTGTATTGGAATTAATAACTTTTTTGTACATTTATACTAATGTAATCACATAAATAGAAGGTCTAAATGTTTGGAAAAATATCACTCCAGAATATTCCGGACCAGATAAGAAATACAAAAAAATCGGAAACATGAAAAGCTTCTTACTTTTATCACCATGTGATATATATTGGAATATTGATGTTTTATAAGAATGCCATAGGAGTATATTATACCTCAAACGAATGCATAGGGCCCCTGTTACATGCCCGAATCCTTACGTATTCTTAATTATGTGAACGTAACCTAAAAAGAATTTTACTCAACCCTTACTCCCCATTTGGATAGCCAGACGCCAATATTGACCATACCAACCCCTGATCTTTTTACCCTATGGACCAAGCGGAGCATTGCAAAGGCCTTGGTTAACTATAAGACACTTTTTTCTAATAGAAAAGGCGTGTCCTCAAGCAAAAAATAAGGTGAACAAACCAAAAATGCTAAAAAAGCAACATACAGGCAATATCCCATAATAGTGAATACCTTCCCTCGGTACCACTAATGCATGCCATAGGGGTATAGTATGGCCCAAACAAATGCTGAATGTCCCTGTTACATGCCTGAATCCTTACTTATTCTTAATTATGTGAACATAGGCCAAAAAAAATTAAAAAAAACCCTATCCCTTAATTGCATGGATAGGCAGATGCCAATGTTGACCATACCCACCACAGATGTTTTGAAGTACTCATCAACTGTACCTCAAGAACAGACCATTCAAACCACTTACACCTAATTCTGATAAATATTGATGTGTATTACCATCCAAAATGTTGGACAGGCTTTGTCTACTTGAGATGCACATCAACTGTACCTCAAATACAGACTAATTCAATCTACATAAACGCTGATATAATGAATATTATTGTATAAAACCATCAAACTTTACAAAATTTTGTCTACTTGAGGTACACTTCAAGTGGACCTCAAGTCAAGACCAATTAAATGTACACATTTTTTTGGTCAAACTAAAAAAAGTTAAAAAATTGGAAGCTGTTAAAAGAATTCAAGACCCCTTTAACATAAAATTGTCCATATTTTGAGTTTTCTATAATTTTGCTATAATTTGTCCCAAAAGTAGTACACCACACAGTAAAAATATGATTGAGAAATCCCAGGTGGGATTTTTTTATTTTCCATTTACTGTCTAAAAGAAGTGCACTACGAAATAACTGTGTTCTCCGACCTATTAGTTGAAATGACCCGAGGTAACCAACCTCAATATATGTGTTAGGTGACCAGAGTTAACCAAATTGAATACGTGTGTAATGTGACCAGGGCATGATTGTTAGGTGACCAGAGGTAAACATAGTCAAGAGATGTCCAAGGTGACCGGAGTTAACCAAAGTACATATAGGTGTAAGGTGACCAGGGTTACCAATGTCAATATGAGTGTAAAGTGATTAAAAGTAACAAAAATAAATACATTTATTAGGAAATCAGAGGTAAACAAGATAAACATATTTGTTGATAAGGTGGCTAGACAAAACCGACGTTTATATCTGTGTAAGGTGACCAGAGGAAATTTAAGTCAATATCTGTGTAAGATGACCCAAGGTAACTTGCATCAATATATGTGTTTGCTTACCAGAAGTAACCAAAGTGAATGATTGTGTTATGTGAGCATTATTGTAAGGTGACCAGAGGTCAACATAGTGAATATATGTACAAGTTGACCAGAGGTAACCAAATTAAATGAGTATGTAATGTGACCAGAATATCATTGTAACTGGACCAGAGGTAAACATAGTCAATATGTGTC